CTTTGTCAGTGTCAGCCATGTGGATGAGTCACAGCCATTGCTTGACCAATTTGCTCTCTGTGAAAGCCTGAGAGAATGTTTTCTCTCCATGTGACTCTCTTTAGGCACACTCTACATCATCAATCACATTCCTCTGTGGCCCCCTAATCTCCTTGATCAGAAAATTAGGGACACAACTGAGTTAAATGATGTTACAGTATAGGTTCTCCTATGTCCTGAGTCCTCACTGACCTTGAAAGGCTAGGGCCAAAATGTTGGCTGTCCTTGCAGCCCTTCTTTTTCTCTGAGCTTTGCTTCTTTAAACTCAACTCTGTGTTTCCAAAGTGTGATATTGTATAGTTAGTGTATATTTAAATTTCCTTGTTACATAAAAGCATCTCATTGTTTTCTTTTATACACCTACCACCATGTATTTGAGACATGTACACATTCCTATTTGTACTTTTAGTCTATATTTCTAATTGTTACTTAATACTTCATAGTGGTGATCTGAAACAATATTTCTTAATGACCTTTGGGTTAACAGATTACTGAGAATTGATTACCAGATTGATGATAACCAAAGGCTTGCCATCTCCAAAATGATATTTAACAATTTTATATTGAGCTTTTCCTGAGAGAACATGTATAATTTATACCTACATCTTGTTTTGTCTGACTAAACCTTATAATGGTTTCCACCTATTGTTTCATTAGCATATTTCCTCCTCATATCGAGTCTTTTCTGAATTGGGACACAGATTTATGAATATAATATATGTTGTATTAATATGTCTAAGTTATGTATAAAATACTTATTATTTGTTATAACTTAAGTGTGGTAATACAAATATTAAATATTAGAGAGTGGTTTCCAAATTTTAATTTTTGCCCATTTGTTAATATGGGGGGTCTTATAAACTCAGTACAGGTGGGGTGTATCCTCTGATTTTGCAGGAAGTCTCCCTTCCCAAGAAGTGTATGAAACTCTGAATTCTCTCTTCCTTTTTTAAGTCTTCCAATTTTAAATTTGTTCATCTACAGCTTTTCTAATTCTTTCCTCAGTGAACTTTCTGTAAGTTTGCCAGATTGTGGCTTTCTTATAGTCTGGACTAGATAGAAAGCAACATGTTGCCCAAAGCCAATAAACACAAGAATTTTATGTAACCCATCCACAATTTTGACATGTTATTTCACAGAAGCTCTTATTTCACACTAGCCATGATCTGTGCCATCCTAGCGTCTCAAATATTGATTTTGAGACATTGAGGTATACACATTAGACTCTGTACCATGCTAAGTGCCTGTTTTAGTACAAAAGATTTTTATTATATGTTAAAATTTCCAAGATTTCAGCTTATTTCTTATGATTCTCTTTGGTGTCAAAACTATTTGCAACATTTTGGAGAATCTTTGATACACATGGTACCTATTTTCTTTTTCTTTTCTTTTTTTTTTTTTTGGTGGAACTGGGGATTGAACTCAGGCCCTTGCACTTACCAGGGAAGTGCTTATTCCACTGAGCCATCTCCCCAGCCCCTGTACCTATTTTTAAAGACAGAAAGTTGCTTTTGGGAATATCTACTATAGATCACTTATTAGTTATTTATAGTTTCATAGTGTTTTCTTTGTGATTTTTTTTATTTTATTTTATTTTATTTTAATTTTATTTATTTATGTGTGTGTGTGTGTGTGTGTGTG